TTTTCACTTGGACACTTGAGGATAATTGAGAAAAAAGGTGTACACAGATTTTATTTACCTTTTGTTGGTAAACTATTTTTTATAAAATGACATTTTCTTTGTTATATTTAAAGAGTCTTTAACTTAGAGATTATTCAATCATCTTCAAAAATCTCAGTTGTATAAAATTAGAAAATAAAAATTAATATTAAAAAATATATATATATATATTTCAGAAAAATTATTTTTGCAATTTAAGATGTGTGAACAAATGAGTTTCATATATATAAAGTTGTCAATATGATGTTGATTCAAGAAGAAAGTTTCTCATTTTCTTAAAAGAGACGAAATCGAGGAGTCATTGTTTTCGATTAGAATCAAACATTGAAATGATTGGACAATGCAAAAAAAAAAAGTTTTTTCCATCTACTTTACGAATTTCGACTTTTAAAGATGAGACTATTATTATTTCAGAAGAATCCCTATTATATTTGATCTTTTCTTCATAAGTAGTTTATTACGTAGACGTTTTGTTATTCTAGGATTCCATTATTTAAATATTCTCACAATTTTTTCGTATCAATATATTGCAAATAAAATGTACAATAGATACTTTATTTTTCAAATCTATCGAATCAAGAGTCTAACCAATATATATATATTCACGATAACATATTTCTTCTTCTCGAAAAAACATCAGGATGTAATAATATTCTATTGGAATTTTATTCTTTAGTGAAATACAAAGGAAATGTTCTATCCTTAGAAAATACAATGGAATAAGGAAAATAAACAAAGTGAAAATACAGTAGAAAATTCTAAAGGAGAATTCTATCCTTGGAAAATATTGCGATAATAAGAAAAAAATATTTAGAATAAGAAAAGATAAATATAGTGAAAATATAGAGGTAAAATTTAAAAAAAAATTTATTTATTTGTACCTATAAAATAGACAAATTACATTTTTGTGTGCTCTAAATAATAATTCTAGTAGTAATTACAATTTTTATTCTCAATTATTAAAAATAAAAAATTCTATAAAAAAAGTTTCCATCTTCTTTGAGAATTCATTCTAATATTTTAAAATTATTTTTCATTACCAGTTATTAATTCAATATGGCAAATTTTAATCAATCATATCTTTACATGAATTCTATTTATAAAGTGTTTAAAAAGTTTTCACTAATTATCCAAACTTTTGGATAAAAATTTTATATTTCTACTTCCTTTAAAAATTCATTTCAATAGTTCATAAAATATTGATTCCCAGTTGCTAATTTAAAGTGACAAATTTTAATCAATCACAATCTCCATCCTTTCAATAGATTCATGGACCCTCGAAGAATTTGCATTAATTATCCAAAGCTAAAGAGTTGAACATTTCCATATCTCCTTTTAAAAATTCATTTGAATAATTCAAAGATATTTTTCAATTCCAATTTACTAATTCAAAATGACAAATTCTAATCAATCATAATCTCTATTCTCTCAATAAAATCATAGACTGTCGAGGAATCATTCAAAGCAGAGCTGAACATTTCCACATTCCCCTTATAAAAATTCATTTCAATAGTACAAAAACATTGTATCCTTTAATCTCCATTTAATAATTTAAAATGACAAATCAATCAGAATCTTCATCTTCTCTGATAAATCCCATTTATGGGGTGTGAAGGAATTCTCATTAATTATTCAAAGGAGAGCTGAACATTTCCACATCCTCTTTCAAAAATTCATTTCAATAGTTCAAAAACATTGTATTCTTTAATTCCCATTTAATATTTAAAATGACAAATCAATCAGAATCTTCATCTTCTCTGATAAATCCCATTTATGTTGTGTGAAGGAATTCTCATTAATCATCCAAAGGAAAACTGTACATTTCCACATCCTCTTTCAAAAATTCATTTCAATAGTTCAAAAACATTGTATCCTTTAATCCCCATTTAATAATTTAAAATAAAAAATCAATCAGAATCTTCATCTTCTCTGATAAATCCCACTTATATGGTGTGGAGTGGAATTCGCACATTAATCATCATCCAAAGCAGGTTCCCCATATTTCCATTCCTCTTTAAAAATCGGTTGATTGGCGTGTCGTCTAAATAACGTGAATAGTTGGAATATAATCTGAGAGGTAATTTCGAGAGGAACAAACATGGCGGAATGCTATGGTAGGATTGTTTAATCAAGATGCAAGGGATGATGAAGGCGAAGCGACAGACTGCCATTGGAGGAAAAATATTTCCACGATCGACTCGTCAGTAATTTTCTTTCGTTCGTCCTCTTTCATCTCTTCTCTTCTGTGTCTTCTCCTCCTCATCGTGGACAGTTCGAAACGGGGAGGGTGATTAAAAACGAAGCTAATAAATTGATTTAAAGTGCTTTCAAGATGGCGGCTTTGATAGCGAATCATGAGATGAGGAGGAAATGGGGGAAGTACCATCTTGAAGCGTCTTAACGAGACCAGCATCGCTACTTTTCTCTTATATATATATTTTTATTTCTTCTTTTTCTTCTTCCTTCCCCTCTCCCCCTACCTCTCCTTAATATTTGGTCTTCTATTGCTTTCCTTTAAATTTATTGTGATCGAAGAAATCCATCATTCATTGGTTTTTCTGTACAGTTTGGTTGTCATAGATTTATCGATAATGATACCCGTTAGAGTATTGTTGTGAAATATTTATGAAAATACTTTTGTCTTGATGATACTTTAATATATTTAATGCATTGAATTATTTCATCGTTATTTCTTGTCAACTGAAATTTTTATTCTGAATAATATTGGAAATATTAATTTGAGAAATGAATAAATGCTAAATATATATATATATATATTTTTTTTACAATTATTGTTTTCAAATAATGAAAATTAAATTCATGAAAACGTATAATTGGAATGTTTATGATGTGTTAAATAATGTTTATTAGAATTTGCAGATGTACTTGGCATACATTTAAATGAGAAATATACTAATTATTTTCTGAACAAATAGATAAAATATCATTGTGTATTGTTTTGTTGTGTTGCACACAACTTTTGGATTTGTTGAAGCAACCAAAAATATCTACAATATACCATCTAATGTTATTCTGTGAAAATAACAAATTAGATATTCCAATGTAATGTTGAAACAATATGATCACAATTAAATTAAAGGAAAAAAAACTTGATGTAAAGTCTCTTCATATTAAAACATATTATATATAATATATATTCTACGCGTCTCCTTGAATTAATTACGTTTCAACGTATGCCGTGCATCTGGAGTTGCAGAGTTCATCAGATACGTTATCGGTTGTCGCCTATTTAAGGTATCTATGCTCGTATCACGGATCATTGGTCGTCAACCACAGATTTTAATTGATCAGCTGATCATCCGTAGCAAGTGATCCGTAATATGAGCACATGGGTATATTACCTTAAATAGGCGACGAGGATAAGATGCGCATTATCATCGATGAGTCCTTAAAATGTTGATGAAGATAGAGAAAAATTGATGCAAAGAAATATCTTTTTTTTTTTTAAATAATTGAATATTTAAAAAATTAGACGACATTTTAGGTTGACAAAGAAAAGGATATATCACGTTTCGAGATGGAAAAATGGATCATTTGTTTAAAAATATTATTTTACACGGAGCACTGTTAATAATGAATTACATTACCTTTGAAGATAGAATTATAATTTAACTGTTTGTAAAAGGTTTCGATTCTTTTCCTTTTATACGAACAAAATATTTTTTCGAAACATTATAAACATGATACGTAATCGAAACTTCTTTTATTTCGTTCCAAGAAATATTTCATTTCCTCATAATATCACAGTTGACAGTGTAGAACGATCAATTATCGTATTTCTCTTCTATTAGCGCGAGCTTAATTATCATGTAAATAGTGGTAATTAGTAACACATTTGAAACTGCTCGATCAATTAAGTTTTTCTAACGTGTATTCTGTTTAAAAAAACTGTTTAAATTTTTAGAAAAAAAAAAAAAAAATTGTCGTATCATTATTGTCACACATCTTCTCTCCATCATCCAATATATATTGTTCAATAAGATAAACAATATTGATATAATATGTGACACGTATAATTTGTATAGCGTGCAATAGGCATAATAATCAGATAATGTTAATATAAATGCAGAAACACGTGAAACTTGGTAACGACGCACTAACTAACTTTGTGAAACTCAATACTAATATCCTCAGGCGGTACAAGATCTAATACATATAAATACCGTTACATAGCGTTTAACTGTGTCACTATATTGTAAGACGTTGATCAACATGATCTCTGAATACTTATATTTAATAAAAACATTTCTGATGCAATAGAACAATTATATTCCTAATATAATGTTTAATATTCATTAAAACTATAAATTTACAATTATAAAACGTGTTGTTAAATCAAATTTTATATCTATTTGATTTAAAAATCAGAAAAATAACTAAAAGATAAGACAATCTTATACCATGATTATACATGTATCATGATTCAGGAAATTAATTAAAATTGTTCATCTAGAATTCTAAAAATAATAGAGATATCAAAAAAAATAAATGAATTCTTACAAAATCAATAATTAAGAAATTTTCAGTTCAATGCTTTGTTAATTGGCATATTTTTAATCTTGTCAATTCTTGAATTTGGTTTAATGGAGAGAAACCTAATATGTTTGTTTCAACAGTAACTGCATTTAGGACCTTGTTATTAGATACCTCACTTGCATTTAATGGATAAGAGTCATAATAGGGATTTTCCAGAAATATATCTTCCTCCATAATTATTCATTCCATTATCAACGAATTAATAATACTGATAGTAATATATAATAATTTATAGAAATTCTTATTGTTAGAGTCACTTCAGAGATTCTAGAATCAATGAGAATTCATAAATTTAAAGTTCATCTGAAGAGGAATGTGTTAATTTTGTGATCAATTCTTTATAGCATTCATCTAACAAGACTCCCTCCATCTTGGAACTATTCTTAGATCCATTGATTATTAGATTCAAATAGATTTATTTTTTCAGGTTATCTTAGAGAATTCTTCAATCTTAGAATTATTTTTTATAGGATCCATTAATCTCATGATTCCTCTAATTTTGAGACCTTTCAATTTTTTAACTATTCTAAGATCCATTGATCTTCAATTTTGAAAGGAGATCTCTTCTAAGTGAAATTTTTTAATCCTGCAATTATCAATATCAATTTCACGCGTGGATTATTCTAATATATTTTCTTTTTTTTCTAAGTCATTTCAAACAAAATTTCCTCCATTTTGAATCTACCTCAAGCGAGACTCTTTAATTTCCAGGTTATCCTCCTCGAATTCTGATTTCAAGATTATCCATAACGGAGTCAAATCGAGTCGTCTCATCTCATCCGTCCATAATATCTCGCATGGATTTCATTTACTCTGAAAATACAAGAACATAATAGAACAATATAAAACATAAAAGATACTAGTAAGACAGGTTTTTTCCACAACATTCCTTTTCCTTTCCTTTTCTAATTCTCTTGAAACATTACGATCTCGTTTTATACCAGCTAAAATGTCACCAAGCAGTGTAACACTACGGTTTTCTCCGTTAAGTATCCAAGCTTCCAAGAAACACCTTCCATTTGTTCGCTTTCAATGCTCATGCCCTCTTACGAGCTCTCCATCCTAGACACAGTGTTCCGTCCGTGTTCCTCCTCCTGCGGATATTCGAAACGAGTTTATACTTGACGATACCATTTATCGTTAATGCGTTTTTAGGCTTTGCCACTTGTCACACTGTAAGAAAGCTACGGGGGGAGGGGGGGGGGGGATTCGAACGTATCGAGATTCGTGAAATTGCAGGGAGGAGGGGAGGGGAGGGGAGGACACGTAAATAGTTAAGTGGAGCGAAGCGGGGAGCGAGAATCACGCAAGGGTGCCACTTGTGCGTCGTTGATACGAGTTTGTCGTCGTGTCGCTATATCAAGTACATCGATTCCGTTTTAATTCTCGAGCGAATCGATGATAGTCATTTTTTCACCGAGTCGATTTAACGGTGGACGATAACGCGTGCGATATGATTATTTGCGAAGTAAAAAAAGAAAAAAGAAAGAAAAAGAAAAATTGATAAATTTAGAAGCGTGATTGGCGTAGGTCAGCCAGCGCGGGGTTAATATATACGCGTAATGGACGTAATATATAAACGCCTTGAAACAACGGAAATCCTAGGTAATTCCCTTTTGTTACGTAAGGTGAGATAAATTTCCTCGATGTTGTAGTTTCCAGAAATTGTCAAGTTTTCATCGAATGGCCGTACAATCTGTGCAGTGTTATAAAGGGTGTTTCCCTTTACAAATGAAAGGAAAGTGATTCTTGACTTGTATTAATAAACACAATAATGAAAATAAACGTATAGATACGAGGTAATGTATAAAAATTATAATTGGGATAAAATTGAAGATTCGAAAAGAGTCAAGAATTGAGAAAATAATAATATCATTCAGATAATATAAAAAATTGTATATTCCATATTTTCGATTCATTTTGTTACCACCTTGTGTATTGAGTCCAGAAAGTATGAACGTCATATACCGTGTTATTTCACGGTATATTTCATCTTTTCAATTATAAAGCGACTAATAGAAACATATCGATGGATTATGCGTGCAACAGAAATGTTCGTTGTTTCTCTCCTTGAGCCAACCGAAGCGTAACGAGATCTGGCGGAAAAGTGGAGAACGGAGGAAAATGGCCGAGATATACGCCCCTTCTTCGTGCTATAAACTTTATGGACGACTTTCCGCTCTATACGCGGACGTGTCCTCTTGAAATCGAATCGTAACACGATTTAATGCGGATAAAAGCAGAATTATGATGTCTCGAGGATAGTGGATATTATGGATGAAATTTCATTTTCAATTAAATTCACGTTCATGTAAAGGATATACTTGATTATTTTCTATTTTCTATTTTTTTTTTTTATAGGTTATACTCAATTGTGTCATCACAAATGCTTCTTTAATATTTTACATATATGCAGTTACAGTTTTATTGATCACGGTGGACATAATGTTAATTCTAATTGTAAAATTAAATTTTTAAAAAGAATATTGATGAAATGATTGAACATTTTGCATGTCACGAAAGAAATTTCCCGTTATCCGACAATATCTTACTACAAGAATTTCAACCTCGTGAAACATTTCCAACATTTCAAATCTCACAACAATTCAAACTCGAGCTTGTAGAAAAGCTGCGACACGCAACGTGTGAGCGCGAAATGTCCTCATTCGTTAGTCCACGTCGGCAATGACGTCAGCTTGGCAGGTAATAATGTTAAGTAATATTTACTAACAGGCAGGACCGACCTCGGAGACTCGGAGGAGGCCACGAATCGTTCCTAAGGGTGCTTCTCTCTTTCTCGCTCTCTTTCATCGAGGGCGCAGTCACCATCAACTAAATTACCCGCGAGAACATGCTCTGTTCTCTCTCTTTTTTTTTACGCGCGAAACACCGCCACTAAGAATTTTAGCGGCCGAAACAACCAGTTTCACAAACTGTCGCGTTCCGTCGAAATTTATATTCGAAAGTTAGCATAGAAAGTGTGAATGTTTGTTTCTATTACAAGTAATGTTTGTAAATTTTTAAGTCGATAACTCGTTATTTCAAAAATTGCAATTGATGTCTATTGAAATTTATCGAGAGCGATAACGATTGTCGATCGAGCGCAGCTATTTTTATAAAATATTGTTACATACTAATTTAGATATATATTACATATAATATTTGGAGAATTTGGAGATAGAGAAATTCGGATTATAGGTTAAAAGCATTCCCCTGTGTTAATTTAAAATGATTGAAAGAGTGCCATAACCTATAAATTTTTTTCCCGCAAATTTTCTCGATCGAAAATTCCTATTTTAACGTAGTTTAATGTAATCTATTAAAAATTCCTCTTACCAATTATCGATAAATAAACTCTCTATAAAGAGAGAAAAGTAATTCTTCAAAAAAAAAAAAAAAAGACAATTCGAAACAGCCGGCAGAAATCTGATTGGCCAATGTAAACATTTGCGCTCGGATTTTAATTCACATACACGGTTAATCGAGCCGCTCCATATAAACGTGTTTCTTTCCAAGCATTTTCCATCGTGTCATACACACTTCTCCGGGCCCCCTCTTAACCCGTTTGTTCAGAAAACAATCTAAGTTTAGCGCGGCCGTCTAAATGCGTACGCGGTGGTGGGTCGCGAACGACTATTTTCGAAACTCTCTTGTCTCTTTCCCGTTTACATAAACTGGTGTTAATACCCCACTGTTTTTCGCGTTCACGACGATCACGAGGTTGTTTCGCGACACGTAGGTTATGTATTATTTTTATTAATAGTGGCGCCACCATCTGCTCCCGCGATTCCCTCGTTTTTCCTCTGTTGATAAATAGCTCGGGCGCACAGTCATGAAAATGGAATTTAATCCTCGTGATTCGGCTTTGTTATTTTTGTCGTCCTAGTTCAACGATTTTTTTTTTTTTTATGTTTTTTTTTCTACAAACTCGTTGATAAAGTTGAGTGTCGTTACTAAAGAGGAAAACTATGTTGCAGAAGAGATTTAATTCATTGACTTCAGTTTTTTATAAACTGCGATTTATAATTTTTCTTTTATTCCAGGAATTGATAAATAATCATTAAAATGTATAATCAATTTTTTCGAAAAATCAAAATTACTTAAGAATAATTAGATATATTAATTATACAACATGAACATTGAAAGGACATAAGTGGGATATGAAGTTGTGATTAATAGACTCGAAAATATTTGAGGATTGGATATTGTTTAAATATCTGAATATTATACAAATGTTTAAATATATAATAATTATTGAAATTATACGTATGTGTTACGCATTATTTGAATAATCAAATATTTGAGATAGTGGTTATCTAAACAATATATCATTTTATTTCACTAATTATTACTCTCAAATAATTATATTTTTCGAATTAATTTGTATAAATTTTCGGCAAAATATTTCTTTCGAATTCATTTAAATTTTCAATTTCAATAATTGATTCGTAATCGAAAAAAGGTTTTAAAGGAATTCAGCTCTATAAATATCTTGTTTTCATTAATAATAATAACGCAACTGATGTTACGGATGGTTTCCTCGTATTTTATGATTAATCACGTTGACTCATGTTTGCATAGAGGCGTTTAACCCATGATATGATCGTATTATTTGTATTATTAATATATAACAGCACTCTCGTAGATTAGTTATAATTTCTAATAATTTCTAAGTTTTTTAACTGATTAAACACGTTGGCTTAGTAAACGAGATATTTGATAAATTGAATTTATAATTTGTACTTACATCTACGGTCTTACAAAACTCTATATTTGTTTCCATAAAAAGAAGAAATATGATAAAAAAAAATTGAATTAAAAAATAATTGAAATGAAAAAAATTTCATTAAATAAATCAAATAAATTTTCAAAAATATCAAATAACACGAAAAAAAAAATTTCCAATTTTCAATTTCGACTCGACAATTATCGAACGATTAATATTATAATTAATAAATTTCATTATTAGAGAATTAAACGAAGTCGACATTAAAAAGACATTAAGATATTATGATTATATCACGAGATAGAGCAAACTTGGTAAATTCGCGTGCAATAAAGTGCAGTACGCGTGCACATAAAGTGCACTTGCGAAAGCGTAATTGATATTTTGTTTCATTTGACAAAATGCTAGACACGCGCTCTCGTAATAAATGCGACATGCTTATTTGTTACTGTACTATACACGGATCGAGAGCAATATAGCTAGTATTTCAAGTTTGATTGTCATTATGATATTTGTTTCCACGTTGTAATTTCGCCCCCGCTGATTTGTATACTTGAACGTTTAATTTATTTTCAAAGTAAATCAAGAATTGTAAATATACAACATTCAATCACTTTTAACAATTTTTAGAAAATTTTTAATCAAATCTCCAAGTTCTAACGAGATACGATACGATTTCAATTATTCCTTATTTCCAATGAGATTAATTCTCCTTCCTCCAGCGCATCGATACTGAATAAATATATCGGTGTCTTTATTTAGTGCCTCATATACCCTTAGCCAAAGTTTTCAAAATAGCCACGCGACTGTTCAATTATAACGTTTCGAATCTGATAGTTTGTTACTTACGTGCAAAAATAACTTGAACATCGAATGAATTTATCGTTCATGAAAATTCTTAAGGTGACTTGAAGGACATCCAAATATCGTAAACCATTTGATGTATGTCTCGTTTAAAAATTTTATTAAACGCGGTTAAAATCTCCTTTAAAATTAGAAACAACTTTTTCAACATCGAATTAAAAGAGAAATCGTCCAAAAAAGAAAAAAAAAAGTCACTCTCTCTTTTTATCCACCCAACAATTCGTTTTTGCAAACGATCGTTAATCCAAAGATAGAATAAATAAAATAAATAAAATGAAACAAAAATATCTTCATTCAAGATTTATTACGCGTCGTACAACAACTCTCACGCGCCTTCGAATTCTTACTTAGCGGAGACATCACCTGTCCATTTTTTATTATATAACAACACCATCGCGTTTCGACATATCTCGACACTCGATTTGGATCAACGTCAAGAACTCGTCGAGGACTCGGTCATCGAAATAAACCTAACGCGCCACGAATCGTGGACCTGTCCGCCGCAATCCCCTCCCACCCACCCCCGCAATCCACGACAACCAACGCTAATTATACCATCACCTTTCTCGAGACGAGCGCGTTTTATACGCGGATCGATGGAATGTGGGGAATGCTGATAAGGAGAGACGAGAGAATGGCTCGATATCTCCTCCTTTCTAGAGGTAACGCGCGTGAGAATTAAAGAGACAGAAAGAGACAGAGAGAGAGAGAGAGAGAGGGGGAGAGAGGCGCGGCGTGGAAAATCGCTCTTTCAAAGCGGCGTATAGGAGGAAATGCTTTAAAGCCAACAAGGCGAAGGGGAGAGAGAGAGAGAAAGAAGACGTTATACGTAGGAAGGAAGTTGTAATACGAATAAAAAGTTTGTAAAATTTCTTTTTTTTTTTTTTTCCTTCTTTTTATTTCCTGTAGGGGACACATTGTGCCAGGTTTTCCTATTGAATTGTGCAATCGGAAGATCTGCAGAATGCAAGAGGGTATCGAATATTCAAAGGAAAATACGTTTAAAGGGTGAAAGTTTCAAATCTATTTCTTGTGATCGTAAATATTTTTAATTTGTTCAAAGATTTGCAGTCTATTCATGGTTCTCTAATAATATTTTGGAAGTCGTTAATGCTAAACTAATGTATGTAAAATCGTTTCAATTATTTTGGAAAATTATATTTTTAATTTGATATAAATACTCGTTGCTTTTTCAAAAGATTTTGAAACATTTTGTTTCAATCGTGAAAAACGTAAAAAGAGCATCGACAAATTAATAATGGTAATAAAATTTGAACTAATAAAGAACACTAGCAGAGAACTCGGTTACAATGGGGTCAATAAAAAAAAATTACTGCAGTTTTTTCGATCAAAAAAAAAAAACAAAAAAAACATTTTATAAAATTTCACAACAGTATACTATTGTCCATAAATATTTGGGCACCTTCGTTTCATTGGAAAAATATAAATCAGAAGATTCTTCAATTTTTTTGAACCTTCGAGAAAATTAAGCTCGAAAAATTGTCAAATACAGGAGAACACGATTGAATGGAATACGAATTGATTATTCGAGAATAAATAAACATTTTATACAATTTTAATAAAATTATACAAATCGCGAAATGTAAAGAAGAGAAAAAAATTCATTAATATTGTCGTTATCGTGTACAATCGAATCTCAGTATCGTTCAAAAAACATTTTATCAATTATTAGCTAAGAATTAAAAAGGAACTAACAAAGTAATACAAAGCGAAAAGAAATGCAATTTATAGAGTAAAGAGTGATATTGTTTCGCTAATTGACATAGCCTTTTCCCCAATTAATATCGTGCCAGTTAACACGATTTCTCGAGGCTTTGCGGAAACCATAGTTATCCTTAAGCTCTGTAATCGATTTTCATCCAATACGTCCCCTTTCCATTTCTATCTTCTTCTCTTCCCCCTCCCCCCCTCCCCCCACTCTTCCCTTTTATGGGTGTTCGGAATAAGCCCTTATAGAATCGGCAAGATATTTCCAAGGAAGAAAATTAGTTTGGGTTAAGGATGGCAGATACCGTGACTGTATAGGTCCAATGAAAAATATTCCCCTCCCCGAAGTTGGTGTATCTAGTGGGAAAATGGAATTTCATTGTATCCGGCAACCTTGATTTAGCATTGGGGATAAAGCATAGAATGACTCTGTGGTAAGGAGATTTAGGAAAGTTGACGGTATTAAATTACGCGTCAAAGGAGACCAAAGACACGTATTTCCATAGAAAACGTAATTACGTTGCGAGCATGGTTTTTTGTTGAATAGGAATACTCTTGCTTGAACGTGTATGAAAGTTTCTAATTTGTTGCCAGTGTGGATTATTTCGTCGGATAAGGAAGGATTCTTTCGTTGTTCCAATTGTAGAGAAATATTTATAAAAGTTGATGATGATAAAAATGAATGATAGTTTTTAATTCATAAGTATGGATGAAAGAATTGTGTTAGATTGTAAGGATGTGTTAAATATGGTATAGTTGCCTTGTTGAAAGGGATTTCACGAAGTTCGATCGTTTTTAACTTTGCGTATTTTCCATAGTTTTCCTTACAACTTTGTAAAAAGTTAGAGGTTGATAATATAAAAGGTTATAAAAGGTTTATAAAGGTTGCAGAGATTCTTTATAGCAACAGTTTTATTTTATGCGGTATTAACTTTTACTTTTCATTTATATTTCATTATTATAATGCAAAAAAACATCTCGTAAGAGATTTTTCTCTTTTATTCTTGCCATTGTATATCTTATAAATATATTTTTCTCTCTATTAATCCACAATTAATCTAAAATTTGATAAAAGAATACATTAAAATCATCAGTAAATCTCATAATCGATTTTAAATATCATCACCTATATCACATTACCTATCATAACCTCAATTAGATGGCTCATTCTATATGCATTTTTACACTTCATTGGAATGATACTATATACCGATTTTTCTCGTCATATATATCCGTTACATACGTCGTTACATACATCGAATATAAATGCACACATATAAAAAAATATCTGAAAATCACTCGAATCGAGTGCCACGAAAAAAAGAGGGTACGTACGAAGTCAGTCAGGTGTATGTATCGAGTATATAACGACGTATAATGGGCTCGTAAAGCTCGATGGATCCGGATAGGTGCGCGCGCATCCTTCCCAGATATACTTTGCGCATTCAGCACGTGATCTGGTCATGGCGGACCACCCTATCGCACGGTTGAATGTAATCGTGTTTCTACGTTTTTTTTTTTATTTATAAAAAGAAACGAACTTAC